GGGTCTCACATACCAGCTTTTTACCTCTAATTAGGATTTCTCCCCCATCCCTCAGCAGTCTGAAGTCTTTTCCCCTTGCCCAAACTACCGTCCATTTATCTAAGGTATTTTTCTGGTCCCCATTATCGCAGCCTCAGAGTGGCTCATAATCTCTAGTGTATTTATCCTCTCGCACCCCTGGGAGGTAGGGCAGCGCTAGTCTCCCCACTGTACGGATAGGGATGGGCTCAAGGTCACAGAGTCTGATAGAGTTGAACTCTGCTTTGCTCTCAGGCTCTGGCAACAGTCTCATTCTGACTCCTGTACTTATGGAGATGGGTTCACACCAAAATCCCCCAGATGAAGACACCCCTTTGGGGGACATTTTGATCCAGCCCCTAACTCTGGGGCTCTGACCCTCACTTGTAGTGCCTTATGAAGGCACAATTCCTTTCCTGCATTACAGGGCATAAGATCCTAGAAGAATGCATTGAAGGTATGTGATAAGCCACCTCCCCAGGTGTTATTTAGGGTCCCCTTTCCTTGCTGTTTCTCTCCAGTCCCTTTGTCAGATCTTCCCTCATTAAATCTTTTCATTTTTCCATTCTCCATCTTTTATCTGAAGCCTTCCCCTCCTCTCTTCCACTCCCCCCACCCGCTTTCCACCTTCCCCCATTTTCAGTCCATTTTTGAGCAACATGTGACTGACTGAGTGCAGCTGGACAGATACCTACCTAGGAAGGACCCACCTCAGCCTTCCCCAGACTCGAGGAGAAGGCCGGCATCCGCTTACCACTCAAGGCAACTAATGGGAAGGATTCCAACTGACCAGCCACAGTGATTTAGCAGTTAATAAATGTTAAAAGCAGGTCTATAAATCACACACACAGGAAGTGACCGGACAGGGGCTTAATGAGTTAGCAGAGGGTTTAATTTAAAAGCCATTTGGCTGGAAGGTGCGATGCAAAAGAGTCAAATAACTCTTAAAAAAACACTCTCAAAACAAGGAAAAGGGGAAGAGGTAGAAGTGGACTGCTGGGGAAGGCCAGACCTGGAGAAGCTGTGATCCCCTGCAGTCTGCAGACAGACGATCCTGGGAAACGCCAGTCTCAGGTGGGCAGTCCGATTACCCCCACTCACCCCAGCTGCCAATCCCCCTCAGACAGGTCAGGCCTGGTGGAGCCCTGATTTCCCCACTCCCAACCAGGGGTTTGGGGCACGTTCAGAGATGAGGCAAGCTCCCAGACTTTGCACTGAACTGCCCTCACCGTCCACCTGACAGCCAGGAGGGGCTGGGGCTGGAGGAACTGAGAGTCCTTCCTCCTGTACCAGCCCAGGCCAGAACAGCTGATGGCGGTCTTACTGGGACAATCTAGCAGTAGCAAAGCAGAGACCTCTTCCTTCCCAAAACTCACACACCTGGGTGGCTCTGCCTCTGACCTATTGAGTGACCTTGGGCAAGTCATTCCATCTCTCCCTGCCTCTGCTTTCCATCGTGTCTATTCTGAGGCAAGGACTGTCTCTCATTGTGCTGGTACAACACCTACCACAGTGCCCTCAGGTGGAGCCTAGCCAGCACTGCAATCCATACAATAAATAATAATCCTTATCCTGCACTGCCTCCTAAGACGATCCTTCTTACACCCATCCTGTTTACATGTAAAAACGTACCATGTGCCTCATCTAAAACTAGATTTAACCCGTGAGCTTTCTCCCTTGTTTCCCTGGATTCGTGGTGCACCCCTTATCTCTTTGCTCTGAACACATGCATTCCACGGACTAAGGGGCACAAAGGCACCTCCTAGCTTTGTACCAGGGTAGAACAATCCTATGTCTTGTCCTTCTCCTTTAGGACATTCCAGTACCAGCCTGCAAGAGAACCTCCCTCCCTGTTGCTATAGTAAAACACCCATATGTCCTGATCCTGGCAGTTTTCCTATCTATTTAAGACGAAGTTTACTTCAGCTAATCCGAGGGGTTATGGGATTTTGGACCTGGGTGAACAGAATTGTGGGGAGAGTATAGTACTACATTTAGTTAATTTCACTTCCCAACATTTCCAGTAATACTATGCGTAGCATGTATGTATTGGCTAGCACCAGGGGATAAGCTGTCTACTTTGCAGGGATTTTATCCCGTGTTTATTCCATGGCCCCCACTGTCCCACTGCACAAGCTCATGAAGCACTTTTCTCAAATCCCCTCTCTGTGCATGGCAGATCTGGAGCTGTAAGTCAGTCATTATTTGCCTTAACATGGAAACCAGAGGTGATTTTTTGCAGCTTCCACACACACAGATGTATTCAGATACTCTCTCTGTAGGATGTGCATGGACATTAATAATCCCTCAGAGGGGGACTGGACATGGAAATGGATAACGAGACTATCCAGATTTAGGACTGTTAATGCGACCAGAGTTTTTGGAAGGAATATAATACATCCCGCTTCACAGCTTAATCCAGTCCCTAACTACGAGGTGAGACCTTCCTGGGGGTAGACCATCCCACATCTGTCAACAGAGGAAGGTGCACAAAACTCTGCTGAAACATATGGTGCTGGCCACTGCTGGAGACAGGACTCTGGACAAGATGGACCGAGGGTGTGATCCAGTCTAGTAATCTCTGTGTTCCTAACCACCCACGGGACATACATGCACACATACACCACTGTTGAAATCTTTCCTCCCCGTCAGCCTCTTGGGGCCTGTTTGTCCACTGCCTTGCAGCTGGTGTCATCACTTCCTCCTGGGCACAGCTTCTGCGCAGCCTGTCTGGGGGACTCTGCTGCTTTGTACTGTTGCAAGTGATGACACAAGGTGCTCAGCCGTGGAGAATCACACCCTCAGTTAGAAGGCAGCAGCTTCAGGCTCCCCACGACACCGGACCCAGAGAAGCTCCCCTTCAGGCGCCCCCCTGCAGTGCACCCTGCGTGAGCACACACGGCCCGCATCAAACCAAGGCAGCTCAGCAGCATACAGTAACTACTGGCCTGCTCAGGGGTTGGCTGGGTGCCTCTGCTCCGCCATCCCTCAGAGCAAGCAGGCGGGCTAGGCTATAAATGCACTGGGCACCCTGGTTGAACTGCAACGGATGGGCACTAGGGAGAAAAAAAAGGGGAGGTGCTCTTAACTCTTGGTAAAATCCTAGTGAAGATGGCAGTTTGCACACAAGTTACCAAGTTAGAAGACTAGGTTGCCCTATAGGCTAACAATCCTCTATTGCAAGAAAACAGTCTTTAACTCAACCTGCTAAGTAGTGTTAACTGCCCAGATTTTGCCTCGAATTAAGAACACCTTTTTCCCTCATGAAGACAAGGCATTAGCACCCCAAAAGCGCATCCATTCACCCCCTCTAAAATCTACTCAGTGCGGAGGGTAGACGGGAGGGATTGGAAGCATGTGAGAGAGAAGAAAAATGGTTAGAGAGAGAAGAAGCACATGGGAGCACCCTGTGCTTTAAGATGGGGAATGTGTCCCTTTGCTAGGAGAAGAACACCACTAATCTCCAGACAATGTCAGGGTAATGTTTTCCATCTATTCCAGCGGCACTGCACCCCCAGCCCGCCTCCAGCTGAAAGCCTCTTTCTATGCCCTCCAGGCCTCTTCTGGGGGAGAGAAGGCTGGGCCCATTCTGGGAACTCTTAAGGGTTTTATTGAGACAAATTGCAGAAAATTATATCGAAAGCACATCAATGGAGCTGAATCAATCACAACAATTCAGCTCCCACAGCCCCAGCCCAGCCTCATTAGGGTCTAATGAGGAGGGAGATTGCTGTGGTGGAAGCACCACTCCATGCACAAAGAGGGATGCAGGAACATTTGAATCCAAGTGGCCTATGCTTCATTCTGTCCTAACCCAGCTGCGCTTATTGTTAACCCTTTCTGTACCAGCATGGCCACCTGCAGGAAGCCAGGGCAAGGGACCTGCATTGTCAAGGTGTTCATGGGGGCCGGACTGAGTGCACTAGGTCATCACCATAAGGCTGTTCAACCCCATTTCTTATTGGGAGGCAGTGTAGGCTAGCAGACAGGGCACTAGCGCAGGACTTGGAAGACCTGCGTTGCATTCCTGCCTTTGCCACTCCTCCGTTGGGTGATCACGGGCAAGTTACTTCACCTTCCCGTGCGGATTTGAAAGGTGTCACTAATTTTAGGGAAGGGCTAATCCTGTGGTTTTCATTTGTATCTGTTATTGGAAGTTGTGTTGTTTTTCACCTTTTATTTATTTATTGTATTACGTGCAATGGCCCATGGCGACAGCGCTATATTAACAAACTTCAGACTTGAGCACTTCACTTTTCCCTGTGCCCATTTCCCCACCCACCTTTAGTCTGTCTTGTCTAGAAGGCAGTGGCTCTCTCTTACTAGGTGTATGTACAGCACCTGCACAGAGATGCGCCAATCTGGGCTGGGCCTCTCGGTGCTCCCAGAATAGAAAACCATCCTCCTCGGGTTGCTTACAGGAGCTTACCTGAACATTCTGGTTTGTTACTGCAGGGCTGTACATGCGGGTTGGGCTTACTACACTGGTCGGTTACTGCGGGTTTGGTCAGAGTCAGGTTGTTCTCTGCCCACTCACCATGATTTTGCATCATTTTATGACCACCAAAGGATACTCTAAAAGACACACAAATATAAGCACTGGCTTAGACTTTGCAGACAGAGAAGATGGGTTAAAATGGGGGCCTTTCTGCTCTGATTCTACCCCTTTGAAAAGCAAAGCAGAGAGAGAGAATTCCTGCATTGCTTGCAGAAGATTTCACCCATCTACACACGTCCTACTCCCCTCTACAATCCCCTGCAAGTCCTGGACGGCACAGCCACAGGCCAACACATCACAGAGCAGCAGACGCGCATGCCAAACCTTGCCACCATCTGTCACTGAAGTGCAAGGAATCAAACTCCCGCTTGGATGAGGCGAGGGATGTGACATGACACAAGGCAACCAAGAAGCAAATGGCCCTCAGCTGGGGAACAACAGGGAGGCCTGTTTGCCAAGGAAAGAGAATGAATATGGGTCTTACCTTCAGAGAGCCCCAAGAGACCCTGGGTGGGGCTACAGGAGGCTGCAGCCTTTGGCCTTTTCCTGGTGGTGGGCTTCTTTCAGCAAGGCTCTTCTTGGCACAGCAGAGTCCTCTACAAGTGCTGAGGTCCCAAGGATGTGGGGCTGCTCCTTTGGGTCTCCAGATGTTGAGAACAGCTCATGGCCCTCAGGCACAGCAGGCTGAAGTGAGAAAGGAAACACAAAATTTAGCAGCACAATCTGAGCAACGTGGCCTAATGGTCATGGGGCCTTTCTCGTCACTCATGCTGGACAAATGTGATTGTCTCCCCAGTTCAGTTAAGGCAGAGGAAGGTCAAAACCACCACTCTCTCTCTCTCACACACACACACACACCCTGGCCAGCTCCAGCATGGCTGCTTCCTTAGGCAAACAGTCAGGCATCTCAGCTCCTCCCCGCCTGTAAGCTGCCACAGGCCGATATACAGCATTTAGCTGTCCCTAGTATTATTGGTGCCCTGGGTGATCACCCCCTTCCTGGCACAGGACAGCCAGCACCCTGTGTAGATGCACTACAAACACACATTCACATACCAACGCTTGTACATGCACAGAAGTCCGCCCAGCACCCACATACAAACTGGCCTGTTAAGTTAGGAGCCCAGTTTTTGTGTACTTCACCTCCCAGTATACAAAGTCTGCCTGGGAAGGGGCAGGGCTGTGAGGAGATTCAAGATGGAGGCTCCAACGGGATGAGACTGTCACTTAACCTGAGCTAGATTCTCTGTAGACATTGTTGTTTAATGGCTGAGGGGGGGAAAAGCCTCCAAAATAGTCAGCCAATCAGAGCAGAGCAACTATATCTATCTATCTATATCTCCAAGCGGCTCAGCAGTACACCACACCCAGGAAGTTGGCACCCAGGGCAACTGTCCTGCTCACCCACCCCTAGAACTGGCTCTGGAAGCAGCCAGGATGGATTTGTGAGGGACACTAACGTTGTAACCCATTAACACTGACAGCCATGCTCTAGGAAAGATAGCCTGGGGTACCTCTTCAGGTTTAATGGTCCAGGCATATAAAACAAACACAGTCCAGCTCCTGGGTAGGGAGATTAACTATCTCCTTCTTCAGAGATACTATTGATAGGGTCTGACAGGCAGGGAACATAATGACATTGCACAATGGCTGTTTGATGGCCTATCTGCAATACACTGGAGGGCACAGCCCGGTTCCTTGTGCAGTGTAGCCAGGAGCTCCTTCCACAACTGTTTCATCCATGTCATGGTTTACAGAGAATGAGGCTGGTCACATTAGGCACCCCAAGTTTTGTTTAGTTGGTCTGGCAGCTGCAAAGCCAGAGAGGACCACTGGGTCTGCCCACATCCAGTACCCTCAAGAAGGAATCCTCAGTGTTGACCCCTTTCATTGTATTTGTTTTTCTTAAAGCCCAAGATCTGTGAATCATGTGACTACAAGAAAATCTCATCTTTCATTTAAAAATACAAGTTTCTAGCCCTCATGGTGGAGCAGATAAGCCTGAGAACATGAACCAAGTGCACCCTAAAGGCTCAGAAACCAAAAGAAAAAGAACCCAGATTTTTTCATGATTTTTAAGCCAATCTTATAATTTTGGAGGGGTTCAATTCATGATTTTTGAATGCTTGGAGCTAGCAATACTGAATCCTCTTTAGATTCATTAAAACCAAGTTCCATCTCCTCCCCCACCAGTGATTCAGAGAAATCATCACAAACAGAGCTCTTGCCAGACGCACCAAGAAAGAGGCCAAGACCAAGAGCTTGTCTAGGCCATGGGGTAATGCGCTTTCCTGGGTGTGGGTGGGAGCAGGGGCAGCGAGTTGTATAGGCCCTTGGTGCCCGGGCTCCAGCAAATTCAGGGCCCGGGGCCTGGCTCCAAAAATGTTCTGGGCCGGGTCTCTCCCCTGGCCCCACCTGCCACCCCTGCACACCTCCTCCTGAGCATCTCCCGACCCCGCCTGCCACCCCTGCGCACCTTCCCCAAGTGTCCTTGCCTGCCCTGGGTAGCAGGCCACTGCCCCCTGCCGCTCTGTGCTGCACTCCCTCACTGGCCACTGCTAGCTACAAGGGAGCTACGCCACGGAGAGACTAAGGCAGCTGCTTCGCCTGCGGAGGGAGGAGGGGAGGTGGCGCATGACAGCCCCACCACCCCAGCAGGCATCTCCAAGGTGGGGGCTTATCCCGGCTGGACCTCCTGAGCAGCAGCTTGGGGGGGCTTTGGTGAGTGTCTTGCCGGTGGAACCGGGGGGGGGGATGGGGGGGGATGGGACCGGGGACCCTCTCCACTGGAGCTTGCTGCTGCCGGAGGGGAGAGGGCTGGGGGGGAGTCCTCCTCTCTGGCCCCCAGCCCTAGCCCTGGGGCAGCCTGCCTGCTGCACCCCAAACTCCTAATGCCCAGCCCCATGCCCCGCACACCCTCCCACACCCCAACCCTCTGTCCCAGCCCAGAGCCCACACCCAAACCCCGTCCCACATCCCCTCTTGCACCCCAACCCCCTGTCCCAGCCCAGAGCCTGCACCGAGCACCCAAACTCCATCCCAGAACCCACACCCCTTCCACACCCAAACTTCCTCCCAGAGCCTGTACCCCAAACCCCCTCCTGCACCCAAACTCCCTCCCAGAGCCTTAGGCAGGTTGTGGGGGAGGCTTGGACCCATCTGGGCACCACCAAAATTTATACAAACCTGTGGCCCCTGGGTGGGAGAGGATTATTTCTTAAGCTCGCTAACATGGTGTGCACTAAAGGTTCTCTAGTGTGTTTTAACACAATGCTGTTTGAAACAGCACTACATTAAAGCACACCAGCAGGGTCTACACAGACCAATTAATGTGCAAAATATTAGTGTGTTTTATAAATCACATCCAGTAGAGCACACTACCCCAATGTGTGGACAAGATCCAAGTGGACATGAATACTAAACAGCTCCCTCATCTCCCAACAGAACCAGGGCAAGATGGTTTGAGGAACATTAAACTGCCCCTGCCTTGGTGGTACAGTTAGAAGATTATCATGCTGTCATCCCAGTGCCTTTCATCATCACAAACAGTATTCACTTCATTTAAAAAAAAATTATCGATGCAGGCAGCGTTAAATAGATATAAAGATTAGCAGCCTAGGAACTAAAGAGCCGTGACTAAGACAGTGCATTATCCAGGAGCTGGCTAACCCCAACAAGCAGCAAGGAGATGAAAATGGACGTCTCTAGCTCAGTTACCAAGGCGTCAGTATGGGGCCCTTGCTCATTTATAACACCGGAGATCTTGCATCCCACCAGTAAAGCTCAGCACTAGAAGTTCAACAAATAACAAGGCCCAACCTAACAAATTCAGATGGCCTCGGACCTTGAGTGACCCGATTTGGAAATGAAGAACATGGTTTAATAGAGACAAAGTGTAAAATTATTAGGGCAACAAAGCAAAACAGAGGGATCATAGTTAAAAGAAGAGTCAGAGGGTTATTGCCTGCCTGGGAAGGGTAATGTCCACCCAATAATAGGCCCTAATTTCTTTGAAGCCATCTGAATTGGCTGCAGAGACAGTCAGGGCTGGGAAGATATTGAGAAGGGGAAAAATCTCCGTTCCAAAGTAATATAGTTATCATAGGGGGTTGCTTGCGGACCTTTAGCTAACACACCAAGGACTGAGGGCCAGGAGATCCAGAAGATATCAGCCTGCAACCATCTGTCTTGTAAAAGCAAGGGAAGGACAGAGCCAATCAGCTGCAGGTTCCTAAGTAGGGGCAAACTCAAGCAGCCGGCCATCTCCATCCTTCTATTCAGGAAGATGCAGAACCCGCATGAGAGGGTGTGTTGTCGAGGGTAAAGCTTTTCCAGTTATGTGCTACCTCCAGCTGCAGTGTTTGTCCACTGTCCCTTGGTTAGGCCAAGTCACCAGACTGGTCTGGCTGGAAGCTGATGAAGCTCCCATCCAGGGAGGAGCTTTGAAGAGGCGCACCGTGTGCATGTGTATGTCTCTCACACACACAGAAACGAGAGCAGAGGACTTTGGGGACCTGCAGCCCAGCTGTGGAGAATAGAGCCTCTCTCTGCCAATGAGAGGAATTCTGCCGAGAGGAACAAACCAGTCTTCTGTTGCCTACTCACGACTAAACTTCCAGGGGAGTTTAAAAAGAGCTACTAAAGAACACCACAGATCTCACAATCTCCCTCCAGCTCCTCCCTCCTGGTGTAAAAGGAGATGCAGGCTGGGAAGGCTGCCCTTTGTATTCAAGAGGTGGGACCAGCTGACCCTCCAGCCCTTGAGAGTTACTTACCCCTTTTGGGAGACAGCCACAGCTTCTCACAGAAAAGGCAGCTTGACTGTTTTGTAGCCCACAGTGAAGTATGCAAACTCTTCCTTTAGTCACTTTTGTCCTAGCACATAAGACCACCTCAAAACTGTTTAGCTGCAGGTTCATGTAATAGATCTGTGGTCACCTTTTAATGGTAAGGATATGATCCAAGAATGGAATCAGTCAAGTGTATCATAGTTTAACATAACCACCAGGTTGCATGCTTTGTGGGTGGGGGAGGGGGGAGATTGATCCAAGCCTGTGTAAGTGAAGTCTATTTATGTAGGTATTTTGTAGCAGGTGTGCACAACCTCTTGCAATGTATGTCCCGGGTCTGGTATCCTAGCTCAAATTGCCAATTACGTTCAGCCTTTAGGTTTCACAACATATTCACAAGGTTCAGTGCAGAGACTTGCAAATATTTGCAAAGGATTCTCCCAAATCTCTAGACCTGTGATCCAGTCGCTGCAATTATATTTGCTGATCGTGGTCCTTGCACAGAGGGACAAATGAAGAGCAAAGAATAAGAATCCATTCCATGCAAGAACGTGGACATGCAGCCAGGAAGATTATGTTCCAAGAAGAAGAGAATCCAGCTGACTTGAAAGAGGGCTGAGTAGTTAACTCTTGAATTACTGGGACACGAGGTGCTCTGGATCTGTTTCTAAGCTGTTTTAATGCCTGACTGTTAATTTCACTAGATAATGGAGGGGCACTTCCTCAATGCAGACAGGGCAAGGGGTGGAAGAGAAGATCTAGTTTAGGATATTGATAACTGCATGTAATCAGCACCTGTGTTTAACCAGTTATTGGCCTCTGCAGTCTCTCTCCGCCTCCTCAACCCCACCCAAAGATACAATCTTCCCTTTGTCACCTTACAACTGGTTGCTA